CTCAACACTCCTGCATTTGTCGTGTATTCGTTTGATAACGACACCTGGTGGGTACACCCCCCACCAACCGCCGGCACTGGGGCATCCGAATCCCCTGATACAGTAACCTTTACTCCGTTTTGTGCCATTGTCATTTGGTAAATGATTTTGTGAGGGGGTTGCCCTCATAGCCAGTCCCTCCGGCTAGTGAGCGGCTAACTTCACTGGTTGCGTAGTTGTTTATCTCCGTTCGCACCCAAACGCTACCGCTTATTCGTCCATATAGGCTTATTTCACGGCTATCCTGTATATCTACAGGATTAACAAGCGTTTGGGTAGCTCGCTGTCCGTGACCCCTTATTCGTCAGTCCAAATGAATGGACTGCTTATTTCGCGGCTAACCTGCATATCTGCAGGCCGTTCCTCTATCCGCAACATGAGGACGCGCCCGATTCCCCGAGCTAGGGACACTGCGCTCGTGCCGACGTTTCGTAGCCCCGTAGAGCCCGATCACGCCAACACTGTAGCGCAGCGAAACGGGAGGAAGAGAACCCTGTAGCGTTGATATTAAGTAAATATTTTCTAAGAATAGTCAAGGACACGTATGATGGCGGCGGCCGCTACTTAATGTACACTATTTCAATGTAATACGTACGTTTAAACGTACTTTAATCAGTTAACATGAGGTTTACCTTATCCTCTAGTAGATGGCACTGTAGGAGGAGAACAACCTTTATCGAATGGCAATTTCCCCCACCACTGACATGAAGTTATAGTGCGCTTGCGCACTATAGATTAAACCCGCCATTTTGAATGACCTTAACACCTCACCCCTTCACCCAAGACTACGCCAAAAACTTACCCCTACTATCATAAGACCACGACTACCCATAACCCACAATCGATATACCATGACTAACCATATCCCCATCTTTTAGAGACCACGCCCACCCATCATAACGGTGGTGAGGAGGGTTAATGGGTAGGCGGGGGGTCTAGAACTCTCTATATTACCCTACTAATATTATTTTAAAAGTTATATAGGATTAAATACTTTCGAATATATGTTAGGAATGATTTTTTTCACTAACAACCTTTTCTTAATACGACTATAATAAAATGAACATAAAAACATAATTATTTAATGACACAAATAAATTTAAAATAAAAGATTCACCAAAACAAAATTCACTTTAAAATTATTCTAAGTTCCATTTAATTTGAGAAAATATTCCAAAAAAAAATAAGTCTAAAAAAATTAAAAAATCGACTAAGTTTCGGAGAGTGAAATCTTGAGTGGAGTGTCGTAGATTTGTGTATTTTAAAATCGCCGAAAGAACTGATTTTAATAAGAAAAAATGGGTTTTTATAGTAGACGAGGGTTGTGTAGCAATCCTTAATGTGATCTTGAAACTGTAGATCTTAATTAATAGTTAAATGTGATTGGCAGGACCTAATTGAGAACCCATACATAGGCGTTACTTTGAATCTGTATAATAATCAGATTTAATTACCTAGTTTATTGATTATTTTATGTTTTAAATAAGGGAACCCTGTTTTGGTAATCTTGTGAATTTATAATATATGACATACATGTACAAAAGATAACATAATATAATATTTTAATGTTATAAGTGATAATATAACATTACAATAAATAGTATTTATCATAAAAAAATTGTATTGATTTATATATGTTTTTCAAATATTTATAGCATTATAAAGTTAAAAATATAAAAAAGAATTTTTTTACAAAAATCATATTTTTTATTATAATATTTTAGCATTGTTGCGAAGATGAGAAGGTATTAGTTTTACTATGATGTATTTTCTTTGTGTCTCTTACCAGTTTTTCACAGCTATCACCGAACTGATTTCTTTGAAAAATACGTCAAAAGATAACAAATCGTATCTAGTCGAAGACATTACCCTCAAAAATTAAAAAAAATTTCTCTCGTTTCACGTAAATAGGGGAAATTTCCAAAAAAATTACAAATTTAAAAATCGCTAATTTTAGACATTTTATTAATTTTTATTACTTAAAACTGCTATAATTTTTTTTTTTAATGATATCATACGATATATTTTTCACCTTAACTTTTGAAAGTGTTCCGGAAGGTCTGATACTCTTATATATATCTTAAATTAAAGGTAATGTAATATACTTTATTATAAAAAAAAAAAATTTGACCTCTGGACTTGTCTTCGTGGTGAAAATAGACATCAAACTTAATAAAAAAAATTACGATTTTTATAAAATAATCCTTTGTTTATATTTTTAACTTAATAATGCTATAACTTTTTGAAAGATGTGTGGATCAATATAATTCTTTTTTTTATGGATGCATGATGTTTTTAACCATCATTTTGTATATTTTTTTTATAAATCTGACCCTTTATCTGTATACAGGCGGCGATTTAAAATAACAACTTTTTCACAAAACATTTACTTTTACACTTAACTTTTAATGTGTTCCGGAAAGTCTGACACTTTTATATATATCTTAAATTAAAGATAATGTAATTTACTTTATTATGAACAAAAAAATTTCGGACTTTATATTATCTTTATGGTGAAAATGGCTACCGAAAGCAATTTTTGTGTGAATATTCTCGATTTTATTTTTTACATTTTTAACTTTATAATGCTATAACTTATTGAAAATTGTATGGATCAACACAATTTTTTAATGAGAAATAATATTTATATCCCTTTTTTATTCGATATACTTTATCTTAATCAGTATATTAATAAGAAATATCATGTATTTGATATTGATATGTATCTGATCATGTAGCTTTTGGAATAATCTACCAATTGTTTAAAATTAAACACTTTACAGATTTGCATCAAAGTGTTTTTTATGATAGTGATATTAATCACTCACAGATATCATTATACTTGATGCCACGTCACCACTGTGCCACGACCCCCTGTGCTGGGTTTTTTTTAGATTGATATGTGATCAGAAACTTATTTAATTACTATTAACAATAATTTTATGAGGAAAACTCAAAATTTCGTTAAAAATGTTTTATTTATTTTTTATTGTAATAAATTGTTTAAATATAACTCAAACAAAGCATTTCTATGCAACTCTTGGTGTTTAAATAATTATTTATATTGATATACTGAACATAATACCATATAAGATATATTATGTAATAGATAAGAGAATAAGAATTGAGACATCGGTATCTAAAAACTAGTTTGGATTTATGCCTGGTAAGTCAACAATGGAGCCAGTATATTGTGTGAGGCAACTAATAGAAAAGTTTAGAGAAAAGAAGAAAAAACTGTGTATGGCATTTATAGATTTGGAGAAAGCGTATGACAGAGTACCGAGAGAGGCTTTAAAGTGGTCTAATGAGAAAAGGAGTCCCGAAAAGATACATTAATATAATAGAAGATATGATGGTACTTGTACCAGGGTAAAAAGCGTAGGAGGAGTATCAGAAGGTTTTCGGGTAAGAGTAAGAGTGCACCAAGGTTTTGCTTTAAGCCCTTAATTATTCTCTATAGTGATGGATGAAATTACTCGAGAAATACAAGGAGAGGTGCCGTGGTGCATGTTGTTTGCTGGCGATATAGTGTTAATAATAGAAAATAGAGAGGAAATTAATCAAAGGCTAGAGGTGTAGAGATCAGCTCTTGAAGAAAAGGGTTTAAGAATAAGTAGAAGTAGGGCAGAGTATATAGAGTACGAGTTTGACAAAGGAGAACACGAGGTAGGTGAAATGAGGTCAGTGACAATAGGCGAGGACGTGATTGGAGAGGTGGAGAGTTTTAAGTATTTAGGGTCAGTTGTGCAAAAGAGCAGTGTTTTTATTAGATTTAGATGGTTAAGTCATATTATGAGGAGAGAAGAATCGGAAGCTGTAAGAGTAGTTATAGAAATAAATGTTGAAGGAAGAATAGGTAGAGGAAGACCAAAAAAGAGATGGAGGAATGCTATTGAATGCGATGTGAGGACAGTTGAAGTGAGCGTAAGACTAACTCACATTTATAATTTATTATTTGTTTATATCAGCACCATTATAGCATTAGTATTAAGTGTCCCCCTATCCACATTGGTGTATATAAGATTTTATGATACTTGTATAATACATTTAATTGTTATAATTATATATTGTAAAATTCATTCTACATTCATTCATACGATCCACTCACCTTATTCTCGATATAGCCTGACTTAAAATAAAATAAAACCACGAACGTTAACCAACCCAAATGAATACCACCGGGCGCTGCGTTCATTCAATGAAAATACTTTAAATTTTTTTTTTTAAGTAAACTTGAGCAAAAGTAGAAATATTTAAATTAGTTTTCAAAGGTAAAAACACCAAGTATAAAATTTAAATGCATAAATACAAAATGTAATAATATGTTTAAATTAATTAATTAATTTTGTTTAATTTAATAACATGTGTCCTTCATGACTGTATTTTTAATTTAAACATAATATATTTGTGAGATCCATGAATTACTTTTAGTAACTCGGTGTCCGATTTTAAGGATTTTGTTACAATTTTCATCATAGTTTTTAAAAACTGAATTCAATATTGAAACATGTAATTAAGATTTTTTGGATGTTCAATATTTCTTGCAATGTGAAAATAGTCTTTCTATCTGTGCCCTTTTACCAGGTAGACTGAATACAAACTAGCACACTATTTCTAAGTTTTTTATCGGAATTTCTTAATTTTTCATAAAATTAATAAAAATTTTAAATCATTTTTATTTATTATGATTGGAAAAATCAATCATAACACTAAAATATATATCATTCTGTAACAACTGAAACTAACAAATAAAAAAACTAAAAAACTAGCACAAATAAATATACCAAGCAGCAATACAAAATGGATATTTGTCTATAAAGATAATTGTCGACAAAAGTCTATAAAATTTTTTTTTAATTTAGAAACTTTCATGGCAATTATAACTATACGATAATTTATTCCTCTAATGAATATATAACGATGCAATAGTTAAAAATAAATCAATTTATTGATATAGGGCTTTCTGAAGAATTTACTTAAAATTACATTAAACTTATTATGATAGAAGAGGTCTGACACGTGTCGATTCGTGATACACGATGCCCCGCGACTCGTACCACCTTTATCAGCCGTCGCCCTACTATNTGATACACGATGCCCCGCGACTCGTGCCACCTTTATCAGCCGTCGCCCTACTATGGGTATTTGACTGACCAACAACGCGTGCCATACGCCACAGTGCAGAGTCCAGCAAATACCATACAGCCGACGACGGCCCGCCGCAAAAGATACGTTGAGTCTTCTTCCCGTTGTCAAAATGAACATAATAAAATGTATATGCGTTTAACTATGATAGTGACAACGTCGAGGATGTACGCCACCAGCTCCGGACGTGCCGCAGGACCGGACTCGACGAACCGAATCACACCCGCGCACAATCTCCTTCAATATTGCTAACCTTTTGACGCCCGAGGATCATGTCGGACACCGCGTCGCCAACGCCAACGAAGGTACCGCGATATTAAGAAAAGATTTTTATTAACTGTGTTCGTCTTTTGGGTTTGTTTTTTTTTTTCAAATAACCTGTTGTTGCTTATTAATAACGGCCCACAGGTCTATACCCACAAAACCAGTGTCGACTACATTATTGCGACGTAAGTCGTGTCAGGTCCTACTTCATATACCAGAAATTATGCTCTAATTTAACATAAAACACGTATTTCGATCATATAAATGTTATATTTTTAACTTTGTAATACAAAAAAGAATTATTTCCATGTCCAAATATAATTTTCATGTATTTTATGAAAACCTGTATCTAAGCAAAAAGTTTTAATAAACTGTTCACAGAACTCATATAAATATATCGAAATAAGTTCATAATCGGAGACACGAGAATCATTTGACATTGTTTCATTAATAAAAGATGCAGTATTTTTAAATTTAATTATCAGATCTTTCGTAGTCACAATTAAGCCATCTGAAAAACAGTGATTTTTTATTTGATATTTAAAAGCACATAGCATATTATTAAACTCGTATCTTGCTTTTATAAAACTTTTAACGTAAAAATCAGCTATTTTTTCAATAAGTACTCCAGGTTTGTTTACAAACATATCTCGTACTACATTAAGAGTTTTTAGATTAATAACATAATTACGTATCAATTTATGAGTTGAAATTAGATTAGAATATGATGAAGTGGTTGGCCAAATTGCTGATAGCTTCATTTTTTCTAAAATTGTCAGCATGAAATCAAACATTTTAACTGTATCATTAATAACGTCAAAAAGAAATGTTACACAGTTCACATAATGTTTTGGAATAGTTTTAAATTTTTCATTATCACACATTATTTTCAAAGCAGATAATGATGTATTGTAAATTAAAAGCACTTCATAAAATCTGCATCTCACCATTTGAGCGAAGTAATTTTTTTTAAGATGAAAATTATGATCTGTCACCAGGTCTCTAAAAATACGCGAAGCACATATTTTCAAATCGTCATATTGTATTTCTATGTGGTTAAATGAACTCCAACTACCCTCACTAAGTATAATATTGAGTGACATGATACCAACTTCTTGATTAATAGTTTGGTCTATAGGAGGTTTAAATCTGTATAGATATTTGAATAAATTAGTTAAATTATCTTATATTAGCAGATATTACTTATTTATTTATACTATGTTATTTTATACATGGTGATCGGTTTATCATAAACCATTAAATCACACAGTTACATACAGAATGATTCAGTTATCATGAACCACTTAATTAATCGAGTAACAATAATAATTATCAATATCATTAAATTAATACCGTTTTATTTATTTATTTTAGTTAATGTTTCTCTCAATTTTTCAATCAAAGTTTTTTTCACTTTCATCTCTTATACCTTATAAGGGTAATTAAACTTTAATTTCGCTAATGACAACACCCCTAATTATCTAATTAACTAACTAATTTTTTTCATACAAAAAATATTTAATAATAATAACGTATGATCTAATAACAAGAAACTAAACTACCTTTTGAATTGCTTATTTTCATATTATAAAATTATTTTAGTTAACTGCAAAAAATTGTATCAGTATATAATGAATTATCAAATATTTGTCAAACTATTATGACTAATTTTGTTTTTAAATAATTGATCGATTAAAAAAAATAATAAAATAAAAGACAAAAATTACACTTAATAGGAATATGTTTTTCATATAAAACGTAGTAATATTACGTTTTAAGAAATACTTTAAATATTATTTAAAGTACTACTTTAACATATTAACTGTTTTGTTTTCACTGTTTTGGCTTTTGCATTAAAGAATATATAAATAATATATTCAATATTTATTTTATTAACAACATTTTTATCAATACACAAAATCACAAGTAATGCTGTTTATAAATCACTCCTAACAATAAATTTGAGAATAGAATTTAATTCGAAAAAATCTATTTTTATGTTATGATGCTATTTGATACTACAAAAACAGATTATACGTACAACAAATTTTGATCGGAAAGTCAAAAATCTTTGAATTATATATAATTTATACACATATTGTATAATATATTTAATAAAATTATTCCTATTTTATAATTATAAAATAGAAAAAACTCATAAATATAGAACTCAATAAATAAGTTATACTTACTTATCAATTGTTGGATTTATCAATTGAATAAATCCAAGATCCTCGTAATTATTCTTTATGGTTTCAGTGTAAAACGAATTGACCTTTTGATACATGAATGAAATAAAATCCGGTGAATCTATCGAATGAGATGAATATTCTATTTCACATATCATTTTGCAATCATCATTCCCATAAATATTTTGAATAAATTTATATTTCTCAAAAAAATTATTTGCAATTTTAGATATATTAACAATGAAATCACTAACATCAAGAAAGACTTGATGATAATCATAGGATTTCTCGTCTTGTACGTTTTTAAAAAATTTGTGGTTTTTTATCTGATAAATATCGTCATCTGTGGTAAACAGATAAATTTGTAACTCATCAACTTTTAGATTTTTCAAGTTTAGGTCTATATATCTTATGAATGTAATAGCATTATATAAATTCTCAAACATTGTCAATGAATCTTTTACTGATTTTTGGAGTGCTTTAGTACAATTAAAAAAATTGTCTAATAATTCGGCGTCCAAAAAGTGTTTACATTTATCAACAATAACGTTTAACAATTTAACGAATATTAGAAGTACTTCGTTATAATTGTAGTTTAAAATATGAACAATATTATAGAAAGTAATAATCAAATTACTTCTGTCCAATTGTCGTCCTATTAAATCTGGAACATTTATATTTCCCATCGGATCAATGTTTAAGTATAAGTTTTCCATAGACTTCCATCCATTTTGAGTACACATATGATCTACAACTTCATTTAAATAATTTAAGTAATTATTTTGTTTTATTTTACAGATTTTATTATCTACAGTGATAATATTGTATTGAATTAAAGACAATGTTAAAATAATTAGTCCAAGATTCATATCAATATACCCAAAAATCAAAATCAACAGTTCAATAAAATAAGTTAGAATAATCTATTTTTTCAATATTCATCATAATATTCACATACAAAAATACAGTGCTTAGACGTGTGCAAACAAAAAAATAATTTATTAAGTTTAAAGTTTGTGAAAAATGTTCATTTATTTTTATACCCATTAAATGATATCATCAAATGTCTGTACTTGTTATATTTCCTATACGATTAAAGTGAACGCAATTTTATTATGTTATAAGTAGATTATAGGTACGAATATTTTAATGAAAAATTATTATCACATTAAATTACCTAATTGAAACGAAAAACGCATATAGCAATGATATTATTATTTTTATAGCAATAAAATCTTTTGTATTACTTTATCACAAGTCAAAATAAATATTAGATATTGAGAAATTCACCAAGGTAGCTGAAAATTATGAAAATTGCTTAATATTTGTGTCGGATACTAATTGATAAGAATAATTTGACTGATTGACTTGTTTAGCAGTTAACCGTTATTCCTATAAAGAAACTTAAATATTTTTTTGTATATTTAAGACAACTTTTTATTTAAGTACTCTATCAGTTCAATTAATAATAATAAATTGTAAATATAAATTAAGTAAATAATATTAATTAAGAGTAAATAAATTTCATGTTTTTTATGAATAAATTTGTCCATTCGCTAATTCTGCTGATCCTTTTTTTCTAACAATTTTATTGAATTTGATTAATTTGGATAGTTATTATAAAATAATATGATTCTAAAATAGGTTACTTAAAATAAACAATATTATTTTATTTTTCTTCAGTTTAAATAATCACATTTTCGTAAAATAAAATTATTAAGATAATGGTGTATCACGAGACAAGAGGATAAAATATTATCAACCGATTTGTGTAATTTTATTTTTATAAATATAAATTTGGTATTTTTTATTGATACAATTAAATTTTATTTTATGATCATAGGCTTCATTACCCACACTCATGACAAGGATTATCAATACATATGTCTAAAATAGTAAAAATTATTTTTACTAAAAATTAAATTTTACATGAATGTTTCAAAAAATTTAATAGAATTAATGATCATGGACATTTTTATCTTCATATTGGATTATAAATTAATATTTAATTAAATTAGCTTTAAATGATAATTACATTTGTTTAAAAGTTACGTTTGTAGGCCGGTCAATGTTCCACGTAGCTTATCATCCACCCCCCTCCCACTTACCAGTTAACCAACGACATTCAGAATAGTTGTGTCCGACACTATCGGCAGTCACAATTGTTCGCGTATATGAGCCTTAAATTGAATTTGTGAATCACATGCGATAGCTGTGCCATGTTTTACGTCTTTGGACAATAAATTGGAGGCGTTTTCGCGAGTCTTATTGCGCATTTATGTCTGAATATTTGACCTTGGGCCACATGTCTCCGGCTACATCGGAAGGATCGCATATTATGACGTATACAAACCTTCAAGAGTCGATGTCAAATTAAGAGTGGTTTTTGACACGTCGGATTAAGCATTTTCCGTGACTTCGTTAGATCAAATTACAACCTGATGTTATGGACGCTCTAACATTGTTTCGGTTATCACGATATGTCTTTGTGGCTGATATTAATGAAATTATTAGGCAAATTTTAATGTTACCTGATCATATATTGTGGCGCGCGTCGCCTCGCGTCCAGTTAGGTAAAATTCAGCTAAATACGGCGGACTCCGGTGTGAAATGTTTGCTCTTTTCTACTATTCATGTCTTGCAACGTATAGCTGAATATGACTGTGGTGAATTTCCGACTGATCGCGTTATTGTTCAGTACTTATGTAGACAACATTTGTGTGAGTAGGGAAACACGGTGCAAGAGACGATAAAACTATAGTCGAAGCTTATTACAGATAGGTAAAGACATAAAGCATCTATAAAAAAAAAATTATATTGATTTGTTCATTTTTGAAAAAGTTATGGCAGATTTAAGAAAAAAAAATGTTGAAAATTAGCGATTTTTGAGGGTAATGCCTTCGACTAGATACGATTTGTGATCTTTTGACGTATCGTTGAAATACATCCGTTCGTTGAGAGCTGAGAAAAATTGGTAACAGTCACAAAAAAAAAACACATAGTAAAACCAATACCTTCTCAGCTTCGCACCGAAGCTAAAATCACAATTTAAAGTTGATAGTTTACCATGAAACACATGTGTCATGTGAATTTTATTATATGCTTAAAGTAGTTACCTTTGCTAAAAATTAATTAAATTTGTCAAGTAGCACAATTATGATCATAATCCTAAGTTTCTAAAGAAATAATCTAAATATATAACACATGTATTATTCATGCCTCACTTTGTTATGTATATTTTTAAGACCATCTAATTATTGTTTCATCAAACCTTCAAATACAATAAAGTATTTCTTTATTGTAAATATTGTTTTGTAATATTATTAGTTAATATTATAAAATATTAAAAACAAGGCTCCGCCCCAGACCCGGGGCCCTTCGAGCCTTACGCGACTTCGGCGCGTAAGCCTCTTCGGGCCGTCATCATAAGTAGGCCACTGATTACGGTAAAAGTACCCGGCTACGCCGGGCACGATAAGTGTTTTTCAGAAAAAATATTACTTCAGAATCAGTGAAAACTATAGAAAACTATATCTAAAAATGTTATTATTAAAATCAGGAAAATTCAAAAAGAGAATATAGTAAAATGTATTGGGTATAAGGTTGAAGCCTCTTAATGAGGTATTCCCTTTAGGCCTACTCAAAAATTATTTTAGAAGGAAATTTAATATTTTTTACTTTGTTAAACATGTTATAAAAATTGTTTTGCTAAAATTAAAGTAATGATGAAAAAAAAGGATATTAGGTCCTTATATATTAGAAGTTGCCTAAAAAAATATTGTTAGCACTTGTTCAAGGAGGGGCCAATCTCTCTTAAATACAACCCTGTTATACACAAAAATTATTGATAATCTAATTAAAATAATTGTGTTTATAAGTGGCACACTGTAAATTTAAATTAAAATTAATATTAAAATAAAATTAATATTAAAAATAAAAATAAATAATTAATTTTGATAAATATATTGGTAACTGCGATTTAACGATGAACATCATAGTTATCATAGATGAACCCCAATTCAAAAGATAAACTCATAGTCTCATACATCATATATGAGAAAAAAGAAAATTATTAACTCTGTACTTAGTACTGTTCTTATAATGAAAGTACAAACTTAAATAATTATAACGTCATGAAATTTATATATAACATATAACATTCCTTGACAAAAATAGGGCAAATGCAAAATAGTGTTCTAATAATAATACATAATACACCATATAAATAAGGTTCATAATACGTATCAGCAGAAATGAATCACTACGCATAATACAACCATGCGCGTGGACTTAAAAAAAAAATTGTTCTATTATATAATAAGATATAATAGGACGCGTACATGTGTATTATTAGCAAACAGAAAAATCGTCATTTTCCGTTAAAATTTGATGAATTTCAAACGCTCGTAGCGGCCAGAGTTTTTGTCGGATCTGGGATTTTCCGATTTTTGGCGCTTCCTCGGCACGTACAGAACGCCGTGGTATGATTGCGAATCGTAAAAAAAATCGTTTTCATGTCGTAAAGTGTCGCAAGAATTTCGGGCGGCGCGCCCTGGCGTCTCGAGCGCATGAAAAAAAAAAAGCTCGTAAAACGGTGAAAAATGAACGGATTGAATTGATTTTTTTATCACATCTCAGGAATGTCATTGGGCGGGTCTGATGAAAATTTCAAACCTCAAGTCGTAAAACGCTGGCGTCAGCGAGCGTTTTTCTCGAAAACGGTCGAAATTTTAAAACGCTCGCGGGCGAGCGGCAAAAATTTTCCGACCTTCGCCAATAATTTTCCCGGAGTCTGGTGACCGAGTACTTTCGTGGAAAAAAAAAATTTTGAAAATCCGAGCACGCTAAGTAATTTTCCCAGAAAAGCGTTTTTTTCCTTGTTCTATTATATAATAAGATATAATAGGACGCGTACATGTGTATTATTAGCAAACAGAAAAATCGTCATTTTCCGTTAAAATTTGATGAATTTCAAACGCTCGTAGCGGCCAGAGTTTTTGTCGGATCTGGGATTTTCCGATTTTTGGCGATTCCTCGGCACGTACAGAACGCTGTGGTATGATAGCAAATCGTAAAAAAAATCGTTTTCATGTCGTAAAGTGTCGCAAGAATTTCGGGCGGCGCGCCCTGGCGTCTCGAGCGCATGAAAAAAAAAAAGCTCGTAAAACGGTGAAAAATGAACGGATTGAATTGATTTTTTTATCACATCTCAGGAATGTCATTGGGCGGGTCTGATGAAAATTTCAAACCTCAAGTCGTAAAACGCTGGCGTCAGCGAGCGTTTTTCTCGAAAACGGTCGAAATTTTAAAACGCTCGCGGGCGAGCGGCAAAAATTTTCCGACCTTCGCCAATAATTTTCCCGGAGTCTGGTGACCGAGTACTTTCGTGGAAAAAAAAAATTTTGAAAATCCGAGCACGCTAAGTAATTTTCCCAGAAAAGCGTTTTTTTCCTTGTTCTATTATATAATAAGATATAATAGGACGCGTACATGTGTATTATTAGCAAACAGAAAAATCGTCATTTTCCGTTAAAATTTGATGAATTTCAAACGCTCGTAGCGGCCAAAGTTTTTGTCGGATCTGGGATTTTCCGATTTTTGGCGCTTCCTTGGCACGTACAGAACGCCGTGGTATGATTGCAAATCGTAAAAAAAATCGTTTTCATGTCGTAAAGTGTCGCAAGAATTTCGGGCGGCGCGCCCTGGCGTCTCGAGCGCATGAAAAAAAAAAAGCTCGTAAAACGGTGAAAAATGAACGGATTGAATTGATTTTTTTATCACATCTCAGAAATGTCATTGGGCGGGTCTGATGAAAATTTCAAACCTGAAGTCGTAAAACGCTGGCGTCAGCGAGCGTTTTTCTCGAAAACGCTCGAAATTTTAAAACGCTCGCGGGCGA